GCCCAAGGAACTTCCTGCCATATGGGAGCCTTGGATTGAGTTTCTGGCTCCAGGATTTGGCTTGCCCCTGCCCCTACTGTTGTAGGATTTTTTTTTTTACATTTTATTATTATTATCATTTTATGATACAGTTCCATATTCCCTTATCCCCTCCCCAATTCCCTGACCCCCCCACCTAGTTCCTCTATATATAATTACTAACATATAGTTCAACATACTCAGTCATATGTCCATCATTATGGGCATGGACAATGGCAGAGAGTCCAGAATCCTATTGTCAAGATATAGTAAACAGTTTCATTGTAAGTCCATCTTTGTCTGGAAGCAGAAATGCATATCACACTGCATTCTCACATCTGGATGTTAGTCTCCATTTCAAAGCTACTGTACATCTCCTTAAATGAAAAGTCATGATACAAAATCAACAATAGAAAGAAAAATAAAAATTTACAATGCCATGAAGTTAAATGACATATTACTAGATATGACAGTCTTCATTACACCCTACTGTTATTCCCTTAAATGAAAAGTCATGATACAAAATCAACAATAGTAAGAAAAATAGAAATTTACAATGCCATGAAGTTAAATGACATGTTACTAGATATGACAGTCTCCATTACACAGCTACCATACATCCCCTTAAATTAAGAGCCACAAAACAAAATCAACATCCGGGAAAAAAAGAAGCTAACATCACCAAGAAATTAAATAAAATGCTATTAAATGACTGACGTGTAGCTGAAGAAATGAAAATCAAAAACCTTCTTGAAGAAAATGATGCCACTGCATGATCCACGAGTCATTGAATGATTTAATCAGAAGAAAGTGTTTTGAAGAGATGAAACCAACAGAAAACAACAAAACCCATACAATATAGTTTCCACTGATCTTTGTTGAAGTGTGTCTCCTCCAGACAATAAACAGATGGGTTTTGTTTTTTAATCCAGTCTACTAACCTATGATGTTTAATTGAGCTTACGCTATTTACATTCAGAGTTAAATATGCATGGGTGGTACTTTGGTCCTGTCATTTTAGGAATGGGTTGTTCATTGGTTTAGTCTTCTGTTGTCATTTTACTGGGATGTTCTTCCCATTTGCCTTTGGTTTTGGTAGGTGCTATTCCTCTTCTCTGTCAGGAGAGCGCCTTGAAGTATCAGTTGTAGGGCAGGTTTGGAAGAGGCAAATTCTTTTAACTTTTCTTTACTATGGAAGAATTGTATTTCATTTTCAAAGACAAAAGAAAACTTTGCTGGATATGTTATCCTAGGCTGACAAGTTTTTCCTTTTAGAATCTGGAATATGTCACTCCATTCTCTTCTGGCCTGTAGAGTTTCCTGGGAGAGATCTCCTGTGAGTTTAATTGGCATTCCTTTATATGACAATTGATTTTTTTTCACGTGCACATTTCAGGATCTTTTCCTTATGTTCAATTGAAGAGAGTTTCATGATGATGTGTCTTGGTGAAGATCACTTTTGATCAAGCCTGTTGGGAGTTCTGTGCCCCTCCTGGATCTTGTTTCCCAATTCTTTCTCCAGATTAGGGAATTTTTCCTTGATCATTTCATTAAATACATTTGAAACTCAGCTTCTCTTTCTGCACCTTCTGGGACTCTCATAATTCTTATATTTGGCCTCTTAATAGTGTCTTTCAATTCTTGAATACTTTTTTTGGCCTGATCCAGCTCTGCTTCCAGCTTTTTGTTAGCTTCCCCCTGATGACAGGAGATACCTTTCAATTCTGAGATTCTTTGTTCTGCTTGCTTCATTCTACTTTGGAGACTCTCCACTGTACTTTTCATTTGCTCTGCTGTGTTCTTAATTTCTGATATATCAGCCTTGATTTGATACATTGCTTCCTTAAATTCTTTGAACTCTTTTATGTGCTTCTCATTGTTGATCAGAAGCTTTGAAATGAGTTTTGTGAATTTTGTGTTCCCCATTTTCTCAATGTCTTCCTCAGTGAACTCTGAGGTTGGCATAGGGTTTTGCTCCTTTGCAGGGGAGTTTTCAGTAATATTCATTGTGCCATTTGTCTCTTCTTTTGCTCTTGATCATTGTACTTCTGGTTAGCAGAGTCTTCTCCTTGGGGCAGGTTTCTAAGCTGTGTCACCCACAGGTCTATAGTCTGACTTTACTTATTGCAGTTGGCACACAGCTCTTCGCTTGCAGTCAATTGTGCCACAACCTCCAGTGAGTTCCAGGTCTGGGTTCTTATGTCAGATTTCCACTGTGGTCTCCACAGCCCCAGATCCTGGCTGACCACTTTCCACCTCCTGTGATACCATGCTGAGGCTGCACTGTTGTCTCTGCAACCTTTCTCCCACTTCCGGTTGGAGCAGGTCCCAGGATTAGGGAGACACCAGGTGTCCTATATAGCTAGGTTGTTGTTGGTGCTGATCTTGTCGGAATCTGTGGGACGTTAGGTCTGGGTGCCACACGGACCTATTTTGACCAGTACTATGCCACACTCAGTATTATTTTCCTGCAGGACGTCAGCGAGTTCTCACGAGCTCAGCACATGCACAGTTCACTGTTGTCTCCTTTAGTCCTAAAGCTTTTGCCACAGTGTAAAAAATGGCACCTGACACACCACTACTATAGTTCTTGATCTGCTGGCCGTCAGGTCTGAGGGCTACCCAGACCTGCCCCTGGTGGAACCCGTAGAATGCCACGTCATTGCAGTTCACTGAGTCAGAAATGAGCTCACTCCCAGCTCAGAGAATGCTTAGTCCTTTCCCTTGCTTTTTCCTCCTTACGCAAAATGGCATCCAATTCAGCTTTAGGAGCTGACTGGGCTATGAAATCCACTCTGTTCTCACATTGTCCATCTGAGATTTGCTGCTCTGTCTCTGCTCCTCGTCAAATCAAACGGACCAGCAGACGGACAGTTCTTTGTCTGGGTTCACCTCCCAAGCTCCCAGTGAAAGTCCCTTCCCACCTGGTTGCTGGTGGAATTCCAGCTGCTGGTGGAGTTCAGATCGCTGTGCTGGAGTATCAGTCACTGCAACACCACACTGCTGTGTCTGCTGCTTTCCTGTGTCTGTCAGTCTCCAGTTACTCCTCTGCTGTTGTTCTGTCCTTTCCTATTTCCTGAAATATGTCCTCTCAGCTTCATCCTGATTAAATGTTTTTCCATCCATTTAAACACGTCCTTACCCTATTCCGCCATCTTGATTCCCCCTCAAGACTTTTATTTTTAGATTTATTTATTTTTATTGGAAAGGCAGGTTTATAGAGAGAAGCAAAGACAGAGAGAAAAATCTTCCATCTGCTGATTCGCTCTCCAAATGGTCACAATGACTGTAGCTGAGCTGATCCAAAGCCAGGATCCAGGAGCTTCCTCTGGGTCTTCCATGTGGGTACAGGGTTGCAACAAGTCCTCCGCTGTGGTCTTAGGTCATAAGCAGAAAACTGGATTGAAAGTGGAGTGGCTGGGACACGAACTGGTGCCCAGATGGGATACTGCCGCTTGCAGGTAGAGAATTAGCCTGTTGAGCTACCACATTGCTCCTCCCTCCCCCCTACCCCCAATTTAGACTTTTAATCCCTACGTCTTCCAAGTAGCACTTTAATTAACTCAAGCAATGGTTTTCAAAGTACTATCCTGGGTAGGAAATCTTTTTTTTCAGCCAAGAACTATTTGTGTATTTATAACATAATTTGCAGGTCATACAAAATGATCAACTCAAAAATGAACATTATTCATTTACTGATTTTTAAATCCTGTCTCTGGCTGCCTTGCAGGGCCAGATCAAATGATTTTGCAGACCTGATATGGCCTGCTGGGCTGAATGTTCCTTACCCCTGGTAGGTGATAAATGCTTCAGAAGAAGTTAATTCATGTATATTTTGGGGGATCCCTGGAGTTCAGCTTTCCATGATCCCCATTCAAGCAGCTTGCCCTGTGCTGCAGGAGTCTGCACAGTGGCATTCAGCTGGTACCCACCATTGTGGCCTGGCTGGCACAATATACCTGGCAACTCTTCTGATGACATGTTGTCTCTGGTCTGATTGCTCAGCACTTGTGTCGTCTTGGTTATTCAGTATTAGGAATGCCACCACTGTGGCTTAAGGCACAGAGACTGAATTCTTACCAGCCTGTGACTAAATGATCACTCCTTCTTTGGGGAAGAAGGGGAAAGAAAGAGGCTTAAGAAAATTGGATAAAGAAACAACTGGACTAAAAAAGGAATCCCTTGTTTGGGGAGAAGTGAAGGAGAAAGTACAGACTGGGCTAGGAGGTAGAAGAGACCTCTCCCTTGTTTCCTGGGCATGCAACCTGGAGGCAGCATGACCCCAGGGAGAAAGAGTTGTGTGCACGTGTCAGCAGTCAGGACTTAAAGAATGATATCAGCAGACTGGAGGAGCATTCTCCAGCAGGAGGCTTTGCACAGCCATGACCAAGAACCAGACCTCCTTCTCATGCTCACCCCAAACACTGTGGGGTGAGTTTTGGGAACTGTGGTCCAGTGCATGGGAGGGGACACCAAAAGGACTGAGATTATAGTACACAGGAGTTCAGTAGGGTGATGCCTTGCAACAGAAGTGGATTGGTTCAGAAAAGAATGTGATATTTACATGTACCAAGATGTGTGGTCATGGTGCATGCTTGCAGCCGTCTTTACAACTTATAGCTAGAGTTTTGTTGGCTTCATAATTGAATTTAGAATTAATTGTTCTGGGAGGGAAGAGAATCTGGATTACTTTTGTAATCATAAGCATTTAAAGGCTAACACGCTTTCTTGGTATACCCAACTGTAGTGCAAGCAGTAATGGAGGTCCTAAGATATGAGGAGTTAAGCCAAGAAAAGACAGAAATTTTGAGGGTTAGAGGTTGCCTCCTGTGTGGTGGTGGCCTATGGACAATGATCTACTGACCGAAGTGCTGGGAGCATTCAACTCCTTTCCTCGCTCAGTGTCCTCATGGGCTCTTCTCCCCCACTCACATTTCCCCTAGCCAGAGGACAGAAGTGAAGTTTAAAGAACTGATTTGTACTCATTATCATGTTTTATTTATGGTTCTAATACAGAACATCATTTCATTTTTTTCACACCAAGGAAATCAGATTTTATTTTGAAACTGTAGATGCAAAAAACCTAGAAAGTTGTGAAAACTCACTCTTGAACTCCCCTGGGCAGAGTTCCGAGGCAGACTGAGGGAAGGGTTGAATCTCTGGCTTTAGAGGATGGGTATGATTTCGCAAAGAGAAGCTGGGAAAATTGGCTTCTGGAAGAGGAAGGACTTCACCTTTCTGCAGTGGAGGAAGCTGGTACACATTTCCAAATGGTCTCCCGTGGAAGTGTCCTTTACCTGGGCCCCTCTTTCCGGGATGCTTAGGTGGGGGGCCGTGGCCATGCTCATGGGGATCTTGGGGGTCTTGTCTTTGTAATGGTGGGTCACAGGGTCCATGGTCGTGGAAACCATGACCGTGGGGAGGGGGTCCATGGGGAGGATGGCCGTGGGGAGGGGGCCCATGGGGAGGATGGCCGTGGGGAGGGGGTCCATGGGGAGGATGGCCGTGGGGAGGGCGTCCATGGGGAGGATGGCCATGGGGAGGGGGTCCATGGGGAAGATGGCCGTGGGGAGGGGGTCCATGGGGAGGATGGCCGTGGGGAGGAGGCCCATGGGGAGGATGGCCATGGGGATGGCCGTGGGGAGGGGGTTTATGGTGGGGATGACCATGGGGAGGAGGTCTTTGGGAATGGTGTTCACTGAAATTACGATGATGAGGGAACCTATGGGTTTCATTGGCTCCAAAAGGCCGATGACGACATCTTGGCCCTGAAGAGCGTGCTTCTCCTGGGAGCGGTGGTCCATCTGAAAAGTCTTTCCCTTCTTGGGAAGGTGGGCATTCAGATTTATGTGGTTTGTGGGGATGCTTGTGACCTCCAAAGTGGAAAGGGTGGCCCAGACGGGATTCAAAACCACTGATGTTTCTGTGATCCTGGAAAAGACAGAAGAGTCAGCATCACTGTGTAGCACAAAAGGAGACATCAGGTGTTTCACTTGATGAGAACAGTGGTTTCCAAAACTTGGATTTCACAAATCAGTTTAAAAAGTAATCTACCAGGGCTGGTGTTGTGGTGTAACAGGTTAAGCCACCACTTGCAATGCCAGAATTTCATATAAGCACCAGTTGGAGTCCTGGCTGCTCCACTTCTGCTTTATCCTCTGCTCCATTTCCCTACTAGTGTGTCTGGGAAAGCAGCAGAGGATGGCTCAAGTGTTTGGGCCCTGCCATCCATGTGTGAGACCCAGATGCCGTTCTCGGTTTTTGGCTTTGGCTTGACCCAGCTCTGGCCATTGCAGCCATTTAGAGAGTGAAGCAATGGATGGAAGTTTTTTCTTTTTCTCTAACTCTGCCTTTCAAATCAATCAACTTATATCAAATCAATATATATATTTAAGTAGGCTACCATCTTTTTAAATTTTTTCCTAGCTAAGTGGACATTTTAAATACAAAGAAAAACGTTCATCTGCTACAATCATTATTTCATAAAAGGAACAATATTTTGACAACAAGGAAAAAAGAAAATCTTAAAAAAGAGTCATTTAGATGGAATGAATGTTGCATTTTGAAAAGCTTTCCTTATTATCCCTAGTTTTCTCATTTTAACAGAAAATTGGGAAACTTAGTTATGGTCTGTTACCCTCCACTGTAGACCAATGGTACCCATTGGGAAATGAGTACCTTATAACAGATACTCCCAACATTATTCTGAGGCTCGATTATATAAACCTTTTGTACTCCTAAAGGATAAACATTTGGTCTTGTCACATTCTTCTTTGTCCAAATTTTAATTTAAAAAATGGAGTCACTTCCATGGGGACAAGATTTCTCTTTCTTTTTTCCTTGGAACATGGATGTTTGGATTATTTTCAGGTTTCTGGGATGATATAAACATACCATGGGGTGAGTTTTTTGCCTAGCAGTTAGGGCACGGGTTAGCACGTTCTCATTTCACAACAGAGTATCTGGGTTTGAGCCCTGTCTGCAGCTCAGCACCGGCTGCCTGCTGACGCACACTCTGGGAGCCCTGGCTCATTACTACATTCCTACCTCCCACAATGAGATCTGGATCAGGTTTCTGGCTCCTGGCTTATTTCCCAGCCAGGCACCATTCTGATCATTTGGGAATAAACTAGCAAATGGGAGCTCTCATTGCTTTCTCTCTTTCAAATAAAATTTTGAAAGTTAAATAACATTAAAAATGTTATTAAGACTATGTGAGGTCACCCAAAAAAACAAAACGGAACAGTCTGGAATATATGTAAAAAATGTGTTACATCTTATTTTACATAACTTTTAATTTATTTGAAGCAGTGAGAGAATGAGAGAGAGAGAGAGTGCTTCTCTCAGATGGTTCACTTCCCAGGTCCCCCCAACAGCCAGGGCTGGATCAGGCTGAAGCCAGGAGATTGTGTTTGTCAAGGACCAAGTTACTTGAACAATTGCTTGCTGCCCCCTAGGATGTTCATTTTTGAGGCTGCTTTGGAAGTAGAGGCAAGATGGAAACCCAGGCACTATTACATGTGCTGTGGATATCCCAAGTGGCAACTTAACCACTGTACCAAGTGCTACCCCTTTATATGCCTCTAACAAATAAAATTGAAGCTGATAAATTCTCTGGAGGCTTTTTTCCCTAATAATAAAACTAAGAATTACTATCTTGGGACTGATGTGGTAGCCTCTTGGCTAAGGTCCTCACCTTGCATGTGCCAGAATCCCATGTGGGCACTCATTCATGTCCCAGCTGCTCCACTTCCCAGCCAGCTCCCTGCTTGTGGTCTGGGAAAGCAGTTGTGGATGGTTCAAAGCCTTGGGACCCTGCACCCATGGAGACCTGGGGGAGGTTCCTGGCTCCTGGCTTCAGATTGGCTCAGCTCTGGCTGTTGTGGCCATTTGGGGATTGAACCAACGGGTGGAAGATCTTTCTGTCTGTCTTTCCTTTTCTCTGTAAATCTGACTTTCCAATAAAAATAAATAAATCTTCAAAAAAGAATGACTAAATCTTAGTACTTGGAGTCTTGATTACAAAAGAATATTTTGAAATTCATTCAGGGTAGATTTGAATTGTTGATAATTTAATTTTTCTGCTAAATATTATCCCTTTTAATTCTAGGACATTTCTTCCTACTTTGAAGTGATATCAGTAATTGCACTCCTTTGCCCAGGGGCTTGTTCTCTCTGTATTTCTCAATGCCACCCCACCCCTCAACCCACCATCATGGTGTGCTCATAACTTTATAAACCAAATGCACTATGTATGTGAAGACATCACTTGACCTGGCACTGCTCATAATGAAGGCTAGTTACAACCTACCTCAAAGTTAAAGACTTCACAGTTTATAACGATGTTTTCTGGGTTTTCCAAGTCTGAGGCTCCTACACTATAGGACAGATCTGCTTTGCAGAATCCAAAATCCTGTGAAAAAAGAGAGCCTATTAGTGTGTGTGTGTGTGTGTGTGTGTGTGTGTGTGTAATATGTGTGTGTAGGTACCCCCCTAGAAGCTTCCAGATGTGCAGGAAGGAAAAATCAGGGCAACATCAGATTCTCCCTCCTGTTATTTTAGAATCTTTCCTAATCACACTTTTGGAGACATATTCTACTCTTTTTCAGCAGGGCTGTTAGGAGGCTCCTACGAAGCAATAGTGTGTGTGTGTGTGTGTGTGTGTGTGTGTGTGTGTGTTGCACAACGGTGTTGCATAAGCCTTAAGTCACCGTGGAAGTGTCTGCTATTGACTATTTGTGAACGACTATTCCTGTAATAATGTGGGGGAAATCAGTGGGGAGGAGGGACTTAGGGAGTGGGGAGGGAAATCCCAGAGCCTATGGAACTGTATCATAAAATAATAATAATAAGAAGAAGAAGAAGAAAGTGTGCTATTACTGAGATCTTCTACAGGGTCATAAGTATCATTTTGTCCGTGATTGGGTGTGGGGGAGGGTAAGGTTCCTTCTGAGAAGGGGTGTGAGAACTGAATTCTCTTCTCCCTCCAGTGTCCAGTGGGACCCCGGTAAGTATGCTTGAGATGGAATGAGTGAAGGTACCTGCTGTGCAGGGTCTTAACGTAAGCTACATGCTAGTTAGCTCAGCTTGAATCCCAATGGGTTAAAAGACTGTTTTAAGGTTAGGTACACAAACAATATCTTGTGATGCAGATGGCAAAATTTTTCATTCTCATGATTCACTTCATGTTCAGTACTTCAGTTTCCACACCTACAAACCAGGCTGAAACTAGTACGTGCCCTTCTGAGTGGTGTGAGGGTAACAAATATGTGTGTAAAGAGCTTGGAATGGTGCAGAGCAGAAGGGACTTGTTTCACAAACATCCCTGTACTCACAGGGTGCTTGTGGAAGTGAGATCTAGAGCAGTTCCTCACGGAGAAGTCCACGTAGACATTGGTCCTTTCACCTCCTTTCTGCAAAACATAAGTGTGAGACAGTTTCAAAACAGGAGAAAGTAAAAGGAAAAAAGCTGTAGATTCCAACTGTCCCACTTAGCATAACACACTGGAAGTGTTCCAAACGGTAACGTGGCCCAATTGCCTTGTGATTTCTGCCTCTTTAAAATTTCTTATGGAACTGGCAAGATGGACGCCATGTCCTGAGAAGGTTCAAGTAATACTTACAGTGTGAGAAATTCCCCTTCCCGTACCCTGTCACAGAGGCCCCTCTATATTCAGTGCATTTCTCCTCCTAGCCTTTTTCTAATTATGCTGCACCTGTACATGTACGGAGCTCATTTTCTAGATACCGTTTTGTAACCTGTTTCTAGTCCTTAGCAATACAGCTTAAGCTCCTCCCAATGCACGTGGACTGTAAACCTTTTTCTGAGTAACGACATTATATTCCTCCCATTGCTTGCATGCCCCATAGTCTATTTACTTCTGCATTTGCAAAATGCATGGCAAACATCAACCAGCCATTCCACAGGATAACTTTGGTGGGAAGGTACTAGAGTCTTTGGACTGAAAGACAGGAACCCGTCCAGCTCTGCCCGCATCACTGAGTGAGGGAAATGAAATCCCAAAATGAATGGTCTTCAAGAAGTTCAGGGAAAATGTCTATTACAAAAACTATCCATGGAACCCACACATTTACAGCCACCCATCTTTGACAAAAAACAAACAAACAAACAAAAAAACCCAGAAAACAACCCAGGGAAAAAGGCAGGTCTGAAGTAAATGCTGTTAGGACAATTGGATAGCAGCATGCAGAAATAAGAAGCAAGACCCACCTTTCACCATACCAAAAAAAAAAAATCTAATCTAAATGGGTAAAAGATCTAAACCTACACCCAGAAACCATCAAGCTTTTGGAAGAAAACATTGGAAATACTCTGCAAGATATAGGTGTAGGCACTGACTTCCTAGAAAAATCATCAAAAGCAAAGGAAATCAAGACCAAAATAAACAAATGGGACTACATTAAGCTAAGAAACTTCTGCCCCGCAAAGGAAACAACTAACAAAGTAAAAAAAAGCAACCAATGGAATGGGAGAAAATCTTTGCACATTACACAGAAAATAAGGGGCCAATATTCAGAATATACAAAGAACTCCAGAACAATGATAACGACAAAACAAACCAGTCAAGAAATGGGCAAAGGAAATAGGCACTTTTCAAAGGAACAAATCCAGATGGCTAACAGGCATATGAAAAAATGCTCAAATCCCCTACTAGTAAGGGAAAGTCAAATAAAAACAACACTGAGGTTCCACTTAACACCAGTGAGAATAGCCCAAATATAGAAAACTACCAACAATGCCTGCTGGTGAGAATGTGAGGAAAAAAAGAACCCTACTTCACTGTTGGTGGGATTTCAGGCTGGTGCAGCCACTATGGAAGTCAGTATGGTGACTACTCAGGCAACTGAAAATTCACCTACCATGTGACTCAACAATCCCACTTCTAGGAAGTGGCGCTAACAACTCCACATCCAGAAGCCAAAAGACCTCATTCATGAGAAAGCAACATGCACCCCTATGTTCACTGAAGCATAATCAATAATCACAAAAATATGGAAGCAGCCTAAATGCCCATTAATAGAGGACTGGATAAAGAAATTGCGGTTCATTTACTCTGTGGGATACTACTCAGCGATTAAAAAAATGAAATACAGTTGTTTGCGGCCAAATGGGCCAAACTGGAGACCATTATGCTAAGGGAAATGAGTCATTCCCAAAAGGTCAGATATCATGTTTGTGCTAATATAAGATAACATCAATTAAAAATACAAAACAACTAAGAAAACAAATAAATACATGTAACCCCACAATCAAAGATTGTAACAGAGAATAGAATACCAGGAATCAAGGAAAATCAATGGGATGCATTTGTACTAAAGAATGCACATAGATATATATCTAATTTTAAAAGATTGTGCCCTAGTGAGGCGCAATGCTAACATGGCTAGGGGAAGTTTTGCATATCATCTTAGGGAATGGTTCTTTCCTGTTTCAATTCACAGTAATATGAGGTCAAATCTAAGCATTTTACCTTTTTACACTTCCTAGTTACTTGTATCTTTCTCAATAGGATCTTGTGATGTAATTCATTAATCATTCATAAAGAGATTCTTTGCTTGTAATCATCTGAGATTGGTCATGTCCCTTTATCACTGTTATTGCTACTTCCCATAAATAATGATGTTCTAGTCTTTATTGAACTGTCATTAGTGCCACATAGGTTACACACTGGCATCTATTCTTACGTGAAGATTCTTGATACTCTTTTTTCACTACCTAGCATCACACTGACATCTTTGTTGCATGTTTGTTAACTTCACGTGGATGAAAGTTCATTATTTTTCTCCCTATTGTGGACTGTGTACACTGGCTCTGTATTTAATAGGATACATAATGGAAGTGTAGTAGAAATCGATATGTTCATAGCTGGAGAGAGAGCATGCATGTCTCCATGCATACAGTACAAGGATGGACTCCCAGTGAAATGGCTGAAAATGTCCTGACAGTTGGATGTTGGACTCTTCAACATTGTCCATGCTTACATTGTTGGGTGACACTTCAGTGGCAGTATGATGGACTTGCAAAAGTTCACCAAAGGCACCCATTGTAAAACTGGATGGGAAATCAAGGGGGGGGGGGACTGGAGAAGGGGAGAGGAAGTCCTAGTGCCTATTAAATTGTCTCACAAAACAAAATAATAAAAAATCTATGCATGCATTTCAACATTGTCTTGTACCAAACTAGACATTGTTGAATTCCATTTCCTATAAACTACAGATAGCCTTGTGCTATTAGGAAGTTAAGATCATCTTTCCCTTTTTCCTTTTTGGATTTTTCCTCCTCTGTGTCAGATATCTTCTGTCCTCCCCCAGCCCACTCCCAGATATTTTCGGACTTGTGGCCCATGATGGCCCAAGGCCTGCGACTCCAGCTGAAGCATAGTGGAGACTCACCACTCTTATGGCTCTCTCTATCCGGTCTACTCTAAAAGAGGCGAAATCGTCATGTTCTTTCTTGTACACATCCAGGGCTTTGTCTGCTGGTTTTTTGAAGGGCTCTGTGTCCTCGATGAAATCTAACAGTACAGGACTATCTTTGCTGTTGGCCAGTGCTGAAGAGACTAGAGGAAGAAAATGGCAGAGTCATGCTCAATGGGTCAGACACCAGCAGCATCCATGTTGGGACTCAGAAATATACAAGTCCAGTGGCAAAAATAACAATGGCTTCCATCTTACAGATGGACAAATTAAGGGTTGAAAAAGCATAGTCACGTGTTCAAGAATAGTCAGTCAGCAGCAGAACTAGCCTGCCTGTCCTTCGGTTGCCCAAGCCTCTGTTGTGATCCCTGCGGCAGTGCACCCCTTCGGCACCACAATTAGGTCCTCGTATTTTAAAGAATCTGTCCTGTTTTTGCCAAAGGGAGAAAGGCAATCACACACAGGTTTGCCCAGTGAAAGAGGACCCAGATGAAGCTTTTTAAGGCTGTTGTATTTTAATCTATTGAATCATGCTGACGCTTGCTATTTTTTAAAGGGATTCTGAAATGGTTCTTTTTTTTAAACAAACAAACAAACAAACAGGAGAGGTTAGGATTTAGAGTCATACTGTCAAGGTCGTCATAGCTTCATCACATCATGACTGTGTTCCCAAGACCAAATCATAGAGCTTCTTTGAATTGCCTTTAGTTTATGTTGAAAATAGAAAGTATCCTAATTTGACCTTGTAGCTTGTTGTAGCATTAAGTAAGACCATAGGTCTAACTCTTTGTAAACTGTACAGTAATATATAACCTTGAGACCTTGAGGTCAATACTCACTGCTAAGTACTTTGAAAGTGTGCCATTTGGAAGGTTTTATTTAATTCTAAAAAGAACACAAGAGCTAATACTATTGTTATTCTTATTAGTCTCATATTACTATTAAGGAAAACTTAATAATAATAAGTGATTTGCTCCAAAGACCATACAACTGGAACATGATCAGGCTGGGATGCAAACTCAGGTATGCCTGACTCCACTGTTTCTACATAGATGCTAGACTGTCTCTTACCCATCTTCCTTTTTTTATATATTGGATTTTTTTTTTATTGGAAGGTCAGATATACACAGAGGAGAGGCAGAGAGGAATATCTTCCATGTGTTGATTGATTCCCCATGTGGCTGCCATAGCCAGAGCTGAGAGCCAAGAGCTTCCTCCAGGTGCAGGGTCCTAAGGCTTTGGGCTGTCCTCAACTGTTTTTCCAGGCCACAAGCAGGGAGTTAGATGGGAAGTGGAGCAGTTGGGATTAGAACTGGTGCCCATATGGGATCCTGGCGCGTGCAAGGCAGGGACTTTAGCCACTAGGCTACCGTGCCAGGGCCTATGTATTGGATTTTTTTTTTTTTTTAGCAAAGGAAGGTATTGCAGTAACGAAGTTCCCTTCTTCTGCTTTCAGGATAGTGAATAATAATGGAAGCCAAAAGGGCAGGGTCTTTGTGACATGTACACTATGCTCTAGAATGAATTAGCAATTTAATAGATGAACCTACCGGAACTTATGGTGCAGTTAAAGTCATTCAGTTTAAGAAACTGAAATTCATTGGAGTACCTGGTAGCTATTACTTTACATTGTCCAATCACCTGTAAGAAAGGGAGTTTGAAGTCATTACACACTTTCTCAGGTTCAACAGAAGGAAACAAAGAGGAGATGCAGTATATTCCTATGATCTGTCTAAAATGTGCTTTACCAAATCTTGCATTTTCTAGTCTGATTCCATGTGCTGCATACTGGCAGCATCCTAAACCTGCATCTGTATCAGGGAAAAACTGTTTAAATGGGTGAGGACCACATTTGCAGAATTTTCAGGGAGAAAAACCGCTAAAACTTCTCCCTATTTGGAAATGAAATCTTATTATATCTATGCTTCTTGGTCCCGGGCAGAGAACCCAGGCAGAAAACCTGGCATTTCTTATTTTCCAGTGGAAGACATTGGAATCTAGGGATGCTAGGTCCCTCAGGACCACAGACCCTGCTGACTTGTCTTACACTGGGTTCTCAGAGATGGCTCTCATGAGGACACTCCTCAAGACCACCCTCATCTTTATACCACTCAGGGCATATACTGCTCTTACTCTTTTGGCTGTATTGGCTCAGGTGTGGCTGTCTTGAGTAAGCACAGGGCATGGATGGTAAGGATGCAGAGCAGGGAAATGATGCTCTGTGAACTTACGAAGCCATCTGGACGTCTGGAATCAGTTGACTCACAGTCTTCCCAATGTTTCCTGGTTAGCACTGAACAATCCGTCTCTTTCACATCTAAGACTAAATAATACACAGTTGCAGACTCCTGGAATGGGAAGACAGGTGGCAGGTGAGTAGCATATGGGAGCCTGAGAGTATTTTTTTTTAATAGAAGCAATTTTCTATTTCTTAAGCAGAATTCTTGCTCCTCTCCAAATTTTTATTGCATTATTATTATGCAGACTTTTGCATTATTTGGTCTATTTATTTGAATAAAGAGCTTCTAAAGGGATTTCCAAATATTTTTTCCAGCTCATAGTGATCCCACCCTGTTGCTGAATTTGGATTTCCTGCCTGTACTTCAACTTGCCCAAAGTTACATCTCTTCTCTTCCAAACCAACTGCCTCTCTCAACTTCCCTTGTCTTTGTCACTGGCACCCTTAGAAGATTACTTGGGTGCCTTAAGTTCCAGCTTTAAAAATGTTAATCAGCTTTGGTTTTTTTTCCCCCTTGGCTTTGTTTTGGCTGACCAGTGGTGCAAGGTGAATGGTCTTGCAAGGCTGCTCCTCATCCTGATTCCCACCACCTGATGCTCACCTTCATTTCTGAGTGCCTGAACCAGCCTCTTAACTCAGGTCACTGCCTCCCTCTTCCCAGGCACTTGCTGCTCTAGCTTCAACCCTGCTCCTTGCTTGGCATTGCTCACAAGTAGCTCTGGGCAGATTCACCTAATGTCGTATGCATGCAACAGAAAGCCTGGAATGGGACCAATGCTTATGAAATTATTGGTAGACACCTTAGTTCCTGTATCCCTGTTGTCTGTAACCTGCAGTGCCTCCCTCTGTAATACTTTAATACTTTAGCATGGGTGGATTGTGCTGCTTGTCCCCAGTAGGACTCCAAATTTGGTCTCTCTGATTTCTCTCATTTCACCAAAGAGAGAGCAGGATTTCCTTGGAGGAGTTGAGTGGAGACTTCCCCCGAAAATCTTCATCAGCCCTGTAATGCACTCCAAAGAAGCATATAGCTGAGTGAAGACAGTGGCTTTGCTTGGCATTCAGATAAATCCAGTTTCGTTTCCAACCTCTGGCTGCTCCGGAGGCCATACTGAATATGGCCTCTGGAGTATGTTCAGTTCCCACCTAATACCCTGCCCCCATCCTACCGTCCACCCAAAGACAAAATGCTTTACCCATGCCTTCTTCCTACTCAATGCCTACCCATTCTTCAGCACACAGCTGAAGCATTCTCTCCTCCAGGCCTCCGACCTTCTTTCACCGGATTGCTCCACATCTATGGCACATATTTGGTACCAGGATACATCCTGTCTTATACCATTGCCAGAGTGTACCCATAGATCATTATTCCCTTGAGATCAAGGCCCACAATTTATTGTAAATTAAATCTCCACAACTGCTTCTAAGTACTTGAAAACTGATTTGTAGATAAGGACACACAGCAAGCATTAATTTGAAGGAACAAAAGAACACTACAGAGCAGCTACAAAGCTTTACAGAAAGCCCTGGCCAAAGCCCTTCATTGTGTAAAGCAGCAGGCGTAGGGACCAGAGTCACATGGACTCCCAGCTGAACTCTGCCACTGGTGATTCCTCACCGCTCCATCCAAGTGGGCATCAGCGACCCGCAGCAACTGGAAAATGTAGCCATCCCGTCGCCCTTTATTGATCAGATCTAGAGCTTTCTCAGCCACAGGCTTGACAGCATTGCAGTCAGTGGGAGTCACTGCCCACGAACAGTGCAGCGTGGCCAAAAGCAGAGCTGCAGCGAGGGCCTTCATTGTATCAAACCATCCTTTGTGCTGTGGTCCTCAACAGCAGAGAATTTTATACAGGCTTTTTGAAACACACACCACGTGCATGCATACACACACACACATACAAATGACCAAAGTCTGCATTTTTATTGTGCAACTGGAACTGTTCACCTTGACCTCTGGTTCAAATACTTTATCAACAGGCTGTAAATGATTAGTGGGTCCCGAGGACAGAGAGTTGAGACATACCACCCATGAGTGGGTGAGACTGCAACCTGCACAAATCTGGACATTTCCAGTTCATAATGGATCCAAGCTGTGCTTTTTTGATCACAGCGCTGTGTAATGTGCGGATGGCAGACGGAACAGTGATAAAGTAACTTTCTGCCCCCCTGCTCATCTGTCTCAGCTGGAAATAGTCTTTTGTCCCCCTTCTTGGTTCATGGCACCCACACTCAGTTGAATGAAGCTCTAACATCTAAGGGAGGGAACAGCCCAACAACAGCATAAAAGGAACTGACCTCAGGTAGAACAGAAAGGTTGGGAGCCTGTTGCTGTGGGGTTGGAACTCAATTCCCTTCGCTGGCTGTGTTGCCTACCTATGTGAGTGCCTGTATGGGGGCACAGTAACGGTTCTTAGCCCTAACTGTGTATGAGAATCATAGTATCCAGGACTTTTTCCAGGACAATTAAATCTGAATCTTTGTAGGTGGACTCAAGGAGGGTCACTTTTACAATTCTCAAGTGCTTCCAATCAATAGCCAAATTTGAAAATTATGGGAACGCCTGCCGGAACTAAAGGAGTGAAAAATATGAAGAGAAGAGGAAAAGGGAGGACATAATTAAATTTCACTTTCAGGAGTGATAGGCTGGTTTTGTGAGTGCTATAAAGGAGATAAACACATGTTGAATAATATTTGAGATTGATTCTTTTTTTAATGTATTTTGGGGCCAGCATTGTGGATTAGTGGGTTATCACCACCTATGATACCAGCTTTCCATATAGGTACCAATTCATGTCCCAGCTGTTTTACTTCTGATCCAGTTCTCTATTAATGTGCCTGCAAACTCAATGGAAAATGACCCATATACTTGGATTCCTGCTCCCATGTGGGAGGCCTTGAAGAAACTCAGCTCCTCACTCTAGCCTGGCCATACTATCTCTTACAGCCATTTGGGGAGTGACCCAGAAGATGGATATTGTTTCTTTCTCTCTCTTTTCCTCTTTCTTTCTCTTTTCCTCTTTGTCCTCCTTTCAAGTCAATAATTTTGGTTATAAGTATTTAAAAATCATAAAATAAATACTATTCATTACTTATTCGAAAAGCAGAGAGACAGAATGAGAGAGAGATATTTTTAATTACTGATGGACTCTGCCAAATGGCCACAATGACCAGGGCTAAGCCAGCGTTGGGCTAGTAGCTCCTGTAGGACTAAATCAGGGTCTCCCACATGGTGATAGAGGCCCAAGCACTTGAGTTACTTTATGCTGCTTTCCCAAGAGCAGTAAAACAGGGAGCTAGGTCAGAAACATAGCAACCAGGATTCAAACACTTGCTCTTCTATGGAATGCTGGTGTCATGGGCCAGCTTAACAGGCTATGCCACAATGCTGGTCCCAAGATTGAACTTGTAATATTAGCCACACTGGATTTTAAACACCCCATTGAGATAATTCAACTCTTATCTAACTCAGAATAACCTCAACAGAGTGAAATCTGCTCAAAGTGCCCGTGTGGTATATTGGTATTGTTGCTCAGCAGATTAGCCCATGGCCTGTGATGCTGGTATGTCAGGTCGAAGACCCTATTTGGTTGCTCTTCTCTCAGTCCAGCTCCCTGATAATGCACCTGGGAAAGCAGCAGATGATGGCCCAGAACCTGGGACCCTGCCACCCAAGTGGGAGATCCAGACAGTTCCAAATCCTTGGCTTTGGACTGGACCAACCCTGGTCATTGTGGCCATTTGGGGAGTGAACCAGCAGAAGGAAGATCTTGTGCTCTCTCTCTCTCTCTGTGTCTTTACCCCTTCTCCATCCCCATAACTCTTTCAAGTAGGTAAATCTTTAAAAAGCAAATAAAGTGTTGCTACAAACCTTTAACCCAGAATGGCAGGTAACACTATTTGATTAAAACAAAAATTGGTTTATGCCTCAATGAATTGTGCATCATAACCAAGCATTTCTATTAGTTATTGTCTTTGCTTGTTTATGTTGCTGTAAAAATAAGACCTGAGGTTGCTTACTCTACAAAGAGAAGAAGCACATAGTTTTAGAGGTTAAAAGTCCATGAGCAGGCAGCTCCATTTACTCAACTTTGATGGGGGTCTCCTGCAGATGGATCCCAAGGTTAGGGGCATGTGAGGAAGGAAGCCAAAGGGATTCTGGGGCCAGGCTCACTTTTATTAGAACAACCCACTTTCTCAGGAAGCAGCCGAGCTCCCATAAGAATTCCATCGATCTCATTTGAGGGTGATGACTCCAAGGACTTAATTACCTGCTGCTTGGCATCATCTCCTATTTTTTTAATTTTTAAAAATTTCTTTATTTTTGACAATCTTTGAATGTTTAATTATGGCACAAAGGTTCAAGGACTCCAGGAGTGGGTAAAACTATTATTTCCACATTCTCTCTCTCTCTCTCTTTTTTCCTGCATCTGGTATAAATGTGGAGATAAAGGGAAAAGCCCAACCCAGCCTCCCACCCATCCCAGGTCCCTGATGTGGGGCATGCTCCGAGGGTCTTGCTCAAGTGGTTTTGATAGTTCAACAGTTATGAATTACTGCCAATTTCGCCATTCCAAGCATGATGAGGTCGCTGCAAAATCCACTGATTGACATAGTCCATCTTAGCACCTCATCTCCTATTTTTTTTTTAAAGGAAAGATTTATTTATTTGAAAGGCAGAGTTACAGAGAGAAAAGGTGTGAGAAGTCTTCCATCTGCTATTCATTCCCCAAATGGCTGTAATGGTTGGAGTTGGGCCAGTTCAAAGCCAGGAGCTGAGAGTTTCTTTAAGGTCTTCCATGTAAGTGCAGGGGCCCAAGTCTGGTGCAGGACAATCTTTTGATTTCTCAGGGACATTAGCAGGAAACTGGATTGAAAGTGGAGCAGCCAGAACTCCAATCGATGTCCTTTTGGGATGCCCACATCATAGATGGCAACCCAACCAACCTACTATGTCACAATGCTAGTTCCTACCTCCTACTATTTTTACTACCCCTCAGCACAGCTTCACTGAGGTCCAAGTTTCCAGCAAAGATAACTGAGGAACACATCCAACCTACACTCAAATCATAGCCACCATTATTGCTGTACTGGCTACACCCAATATTTGGTCCCTGAACAACAATAACAGCAAAGCTTAATGTAGGCAAAGGAGTAAAAATCCTTGGTGGATAGAATATGTTTTACCTTCACCAAGAGTTATAGACACTTTTGTGTACCCTCTTTCTCTTGTTTTATTAAGCCATTTTTAAAAAATGGGTTTAATTACTTGAAGGCAAAATGACAGCGAGAAAGAAGAAAGAGACAGAAATTTTATGTCTCCTGGTTCAATCTCCAAATGGCTGATACAGCAGGCAGGGGCTGGGCTCAGCTGAAGCCAGGAACCAGGAATTTCATTTGGATCTTTCCAATGGAAGGCAGGAGCTCCAGTACTTGAGATATCACCCTCTACTTCCTAGGTGCATTAGCACAAAGTTGTGTCAGAAGTGGAGTAGCAAGGCCTTCGACCAGCACTCTGATATGGGATGTTGGCACTCAAGTGATGGTTAAAACCTGTACCACAATACCTGTGCCACAATGCCCGCACCAACCTTATCACATTTTAGAGGAGTAGTGCTAAGGATGCCATGCCAGTAATCGGGTAGCTTCAGGTGAAGTGCGTATGTGTGTGTGCGCGCGAGCACCTAGTAAGGTGATGATGGTGATGGTCAGGAGAATAGGAGAGATACTCAGTCCTAGGGAGTTGTGTGATAATCTAGGAAAAGACATGTGGCTGGAGGGAAACTTCCTGGGCAATTCAAAGCCAGAAACCAGCCTCAGCTGTGAGTCTTAGAGGATAGGGGTCACTTTTCACAAGTTACTATCTGGGGCACTCTGATGTGGGCAGATCTTCTCTTTTGGACTCTCATTTTGGATTCAAATTCTTCCGAGGTGGCCTGACCACATTATCAGAAAAAGTCTGCCAACAGATCTCTTTATTCCTTAAAACTTCTTTACTAGGAATAGAATCCACGTTCTTTGCCCTTTTCCCACCAAGTGTGGAAAATACAAGCAGTATAAAGCAAATTCATCTCTAATTTATCACCATGAAAATCAGTCATTTGTAATACATCATTTCTTCATATGTTTTAAATTTGATCATATATAATGTTTGTGTATTTTGCACTGTTGGAAGTAGTCTTTGCATATAAGTATTTTGTGTTCCTCCTCTGCCTGAGTATTTATTTATTTACAACCTCTATTTTTTTAATTAATTGAACTCACATAAATACAAACATTATAAATGTTGTTTTTGTTTTGCCTTAGGTTTAACAGCTTTTAGTTAACTATATATATTTTAGTCATAATCTTCATACCTGTGCAAAATAAATAGAAAACAGAATCTTAGAGAATATTATGAAGTAAATATTAAGTCTACCTCCATTTTTCCAAATTCTTTCCCAAAGATTGTGAATAATTTCTTGTTCTATATGGATTCTACTATATTTTCACTTAAATATTAAATATTTGCCTGGATTCTATGCTATTTTCTGCTGTATTTATGTTAATGTATTTAACCACAATGGACATACTTTCAAAATCTCTGATTGTTTCTTTGGAAATCTCTGGATTAGTTGACAGAATGTATAACATTCAGGACTTTTCTGTAATAGGATTCACTTTCTAAAAAGAATGCATGATTTTTACCAGATATTTAGAGTCTCTGTTCTATTTATTTCTGAAAATAGCCTTTTTCTTAGAGCATGTGTAAGTTCTCAGAAAAACTGAGTAGAAAGTACAGAGAATTTTCGTTTCCCTGCAAACTCCCCTACACTCA